GGCAATAAATTATGCAATCCTTTGTTTGTGTCATCTTTGTTCAAATTATGAGTTTTGTTGTTTCTTCTCACTCTCCATGTCCCGCTGTTTGCACCTTTGATGGGTCCAAAGCTTCATCATGTGCCTAATGTTAACTAAATGTAAATATTCATGTGATACAAATTGCCTTTAATGTTCAAATAAAATATGGTTTGTGTAAATAGTTTAAAGTGCCCTTTCTTATCCACAGTATGGAACAACTTTAGCAATTGTTCTCATTGTTTTAGTGGCAGCGTGTGGTCTGGCTTTTTTCTTTAGGGGAGAGGTAAGTCTATTTGCTCATTATCCTTATTCATAATGAGTGGTTATTTTTTTTGTTATTCTTTAGCTTTGCGCTTCGGACTCTCTGGTTCCACACCCAGTGTGCCTTTGAATATTGTTTCTTCCTCAGTCTCACAGCGAAAAGAAATTTTTTCTGTACGAAAGAATATTGTGGAATTAAAAAACAAGAAAAGAGGGAATTATTTTCTCTAGTAGACGAATATTGTCGGGATTACAAAAACAAAATGTTTGAGGCCGTCCTCCGTGAGTACACGGAGAAAAGTCTCAACTGAGAGACTAATGTTCTAGCCTCAGCTACAGCAAGAGCAACCAAGCAGACACAGCTGATATTGGATTTATATCAGTGGTTGGTGTGTCCGGGTTTCAGTCTGAATAACGCAGTCATTGAAACTATCTCATGGAATGATTGTAGACTGTCCTTACTTGCTCCTCGTCAGTGAGGAGGAAAGTGCGTGTGGAAAACAGTAATCTGGTCCACACATCATAAAAATGTAGTTTTAGTATCCATTTTCTTGGGAATGATTTTCATTGTCGTGTGTCTACAGTGGAATTAAGGAATCATCTGACACACTGAATCAGATGGATATCAAAGGTCACTGTAACTTGACAAATAAAAATCCAAATTAAGGGAATGGATCCCTATCACCATGCATCATAAGATATGATTTCTCTCTTTCTCCTGCTCATCCTTCTTTCTCCTCCTCACTCTCCTTCTGCATCGTCTTGTTCATTTTGTCTTTCTTTGCTATGCTGTTCTTCTTCTTTCACTTGTTTTCTTTTAATTCCTTCTTTTTCTGTCTTCTTCTTATTCTGCTTCTGGTTTTTCTTTTTTCTTATTCTTCTTCTTCTTCTTTTCTTCTTCTTTCTTCTTCTTCTTCTTTTTCTTCTTCGGCTTTCTTCTTCTTTCATCTCTCTCTTCTGTCTTCTTCTGTCTTCTTCTTCTTCTTCAGTTTCTCTCTTCTTCTGAAAAGCTTTCTTCTTTTGACTTCATTCTGCTTCTTCTTCCTTGATTTCTTCTTCTTCCTTCTTAGATTCTTCTTCTCTCTTCTTTCTTCTTCTTCTTCAAATCTCTTCTTCTTCTTCTTCTTCTTCTTCTCTTCTTCTTCTTTGTTCTTCTTCGTCTACTTACATCAGTGTATATCAGCTTGAAGGTTGGGTGCTTTGTAAAGAAAAAACACTTATTTCTTTGCAGTACTCTTAGAATTCACCAGACATTTCATTTCATTTGATGTTAGTCATTAGCCCGCAGCAGTTAAGATTGTTCCAATTTCTTTTCTTGCAGCTTGGCTCAAAAATCCGAACACCGCTGCGCAGATACATTGTCTGTAAACTTATGGTTATTGAAAATTCGCAACCATTCCCAGCGAAGAACTCACGAATTACAGGAAGCTTGGGGATGCTATGCAAATACACGGTGGACTTATGTTTCTAGCAGTATTCTTTTTATGGGATTACTTGTATTACCATGGTTCAGTTTGAATGTTGACTCATGTGTAGTATAACAATCCGTGAATACTAAATTATATTGGGTCAGCAGCATTTTCACATTCTGAGGAAGAATAGACAGTGGAAATGGTAAATAAACGTGCAAAAAAAAGTCAACTACATACTGTGACAAACTGAACATCACATTTGACACCAGAAGGAAACTCCTCGCAGTCTGCCAAGAACAAGTCTAATAAGAACTAACTTTTGAGCCAAACTTTTTGTTGCCAGGTCAAATATATTTGTCCCTCAATACTAAGCTAATAAGCCATACTTGTCTACCGGTCTATAACAACACCATGACATTAGATAACCTTAGGAAAACTACTACCGGAGTATACAAGAAGAAATAAAATAAAAAACAATGAAAATTAAAAGAAGACTATAACTGAGACCAATCATGTAGCTAATTAAAGATCAACAGATGGTTTAGCCAACTATAACTGAAATCAGCCGCCTATTTAATTAAAGATCAACAGATGGTTTAGCCAACTATAACTGAGTCCAGTCATGTAGTTCATTAAAGATCAACAGATCGTTTTGCCAACAATAACTGAGACCAGTCATAACATGGATGGTTCAACCATGGTTGACAAGACTTCCCTCGGTACTGACTGCTATGGTTGTGGGTTTCCACGGCCCCGTTGTGGGGGACAACAAGAATAGGTAGATCCACTGCCTCCCTACATTTATGGTGTAAGTCAGAGTGCATCTAGCTTGAAAGGCAACTGAAACTGAAAACAGTCTGCAAAAAGATCAACAGCCAGATCTGTAAAATAACATGCATCACTCCAAGTTCTGATAACAAGGCTAAGTCCAGAGCTGGAGAAACAACCAGAACTTACTTTCTTGCCAGAGTTTACAGCTGGTTGTGAACACAAAGAAAGTGAGGTAGAATGACTAAGAAATATATGGTGAGCCTGTTGGTAACCGAAAGAGGTAAACAACACCTTAAGGATGTGAAGATCATTGTACAGATCGTGCATTACAAGAATGAACAAATTTATTTTTCTGTGGTTACAAATTGGGCGCACAGGCATGGTCCTTACATTTGGCCCTTTGAGCATTCATCTTTTATACAGCTGTTGCATTTTTATATATCAAGCATATTATGTCCATATTTCACATTTTATTTATAACTGTAGGTTAAAACTACAAGGGCCATGGATTGAAAATGCAAACCTTCATTCCAATGTATATGCTGTTAAAATACACCCACATCAGTTCACGCACACATACTTCATCCTTAGCTGACACCCCAGGGCACACCATTGATGACACCACACACACACACGCCACGCAGGCATGCACATACTCATGCAATGCACGACACACCACACAACACACACACAAACACAACACACAATATACACACACAACACACATCACAACACACATATATATACATAAAACATAAACAGACATATACATCAAGATACAGACACATACATAAAGAGAGCAACATCAACTCAGTCCACAGAACATCTACACACAGACATGACATTCACACAGATAACACACATGATACATCATGCACGATGCAACATATTCTCACAGACACAACACATACATATAGACAAAAACAAACATACAGACAACAATACACACACATCGTTCACAAACACAGCAGATAATACACACAGCAGAACACCACACAGCAAACATAAAACACAACACCACACACACTCAGACACAAGACATCGCGCACAGCAACGCTGTGCGCCACGCACGCACGATAAAACGCACACACACACACCACACACCCCCACACCACCCCACCCCACCCACCCACACACCCACACACCACACACACCCACCCCACACCAGACCCAACCCACCCCCACCCCCCTGCTCGTTTGCGCATGCATGCACGCACGCACACACACACACACACACACACACACACATACACACACATGATCCTCATAGCTTCCCGAAAACTCTTCACTGGGGTAATTTGAGGAAGATTACCTGTTATTATTGTCACTTGCAATTATTTGTAATGTTCTGCTAAGATTGGTATCCCGTTGTGTCTAATTCACCCCTTGTTTTTTGCTTCATGTTTGTTCTCATTCTTGAAATTGTGCTACAAAGATGCTCTCTGCATGCAGTAGAAAGATCCCAGGTTTGGCTGGTGGGCATTCCAATAGAAATGAATCTTTATAGAACAGTGGATGACATGAGTTACGCCACAGACTTCACAGATGCCTGTGGTGTTCTCATCTAAAAAAGACTGGCAGAAGAAGAAGATATATTTATCCTGTATTGGTCGGGGTAGGAAACGATGGTGGCCTCTTTAAGAAGCATGTATTGAAAGTTTGATGTTTTGAACAACGGATCAACATCATGGCACACGGGTGTAACCCATAAGTGCTCCATTCTTCTTCTAACTCAAATCTGAGTCCGAAGAAGCTCAGCACAGTGCACAGGCTCTGTAGCACCAGCGAGGATCCTGAAATACTTTAGGTAGATTTTTAACACAAAATTTTGCCCGGGCAGCGCCGTTTGGCTACTCTTTTTGATTTCCAACTGCCAAGAGATTTTTTACGTGCGCAACAAGGCAAACGGGTGTCGGATCTCACTACCCAGAGCCCTTACAGGTGATTGAACCCAGAACCTCTAGCACTCGAGGCAGACACAATGCCTTGAGACCATGCAGCCTCTGAGGTGAAAGACTACTAAAAAGGTTTTGTTTTTTTAATCAGATGTGTTGGGCAGAAAGATTCAAATATTGCTGCGGACTACAACACAATATCCAAACCATCCTTCTGAGAAGGTAACACAGAAGAAGTAGGTGCTAGAGGTGATAGTAAAGATCAGCACAGCCAGCCATAAAAGACATACCGGCAAAACGAGAAGTTTTGTTTCAGCATAGGACTGGCAGTATGAATCGTGGGATACTAATGTATATGATAAAGAGCAAATCTGAGCACCTATGGATGTGTCCACAGTGCCGTAAAGATAACCTAACCCATACCTCAGTCCTTCCTTGCTGATGTGGACATAAGCTGTATCATTCTTTTCAGTAATTGTAACTTGTCCAAGAATTGCAGTAGTTATTTAGCTGTCTCCATTTATTATTGCATGAAATTTATTTTAAATAACAAAATAATGTGAAGTTTTTATTGTATAATCTGTGTTATTTTATTCTGATAATTGTTTCACAATGTTAATTATTTTTTTTTTTTTCACAGCTGAAATGTTGTGGAGTGGTGGGAAATGTTACCTCATTTGATTCCTGGATGTATTACTTGTCAAAGACCAAGTGGTCAGGAGTCAAAAGTAAGCTAAATCCTAGACTAGATATTTATGTCTAAAAAAAATATTGTTTAGTAAAAAGTATAACTATTTCTGTATTAAAATTTTATTGTTAGTTCGATAATTGTTTCTTTCTTTTTGTTGTTGTTGTAGTTATTTTATTGTGATTGTGACAACAAAAATGAAAAACCTTAGCAGGAGTTTTAAGAAAAGTCAGAATACGAAATCACGAAATCAGACGAATGCTTGGAATAAAGCCAGTTTTACAAGTCATCAAAGAACAACAAATGAAGTGGTTTGGACATCTAAATAGAATGCCCTGGTACTATCTGCCACAGCGAGCCACACTAAAATGTTACAATGGGTATAGAGCGAGTAGAAGACCTTGGAAAATATGGAGTGATGGCATTAGGAACAGCCTTTCGGAAATGAATATCAGTCTTAATAGTGCTCTTGACAAAGCTCATCACAAAATATTACATCTCCTACAGACACTTCGCTGAAGTACAAGGTGGAAGAAAAGAAGAAGTAATATTCTTAAATAACAGTTTCTATGTTTGAATATAGTAGTGTTTATAAGATACCATAAGAATACAACCAGAACTTTCCGCCAGAGTTTACAGCCAGTGAACGTGAAGAAAAAGAAAAAGCTGTAGATTTATAGCATTTTATTGTGTGTGTGTGTGTGCGTGCCTGCATGCGTGCGTGCCTGCATGCGTGCGTGTGTGTGTGTGGTGGGGTGGGGGTGTGTGTATATATATATATATATATATATATATATATATGTAGTGCTGAAGGTGAAGAAATCACACTTTGTTATCAACAGAGAGTCCAAACAGGCGAGTGCCGGATAGCTGCTGCGCACCTGGTGATATCAATTTGTGCATAGGAGAGACAGAGTTTCAAGGTCCTCCGCGCTTTTTTCAGGGACACCGAGAAGAATTAAGAAAAACAAATCCTTATTTATATACCGATGTAAGTAGATGTTTGAATATCAAATTTTTTTGTTTTGTTTTTGTTTGCTTGTGTAACTAGCTCTCTGAATATTCAGTACTTGTTATGTATTGATATTAGTGGGTCTAGATCTTTACTACATTTTAAATTTATTTTTTTTCTTCTTCTTCTTCTTCTTCTTCTTCTTCTTCTTCTTCTTCTTCTTCTTCTTCTTCTTCTTCTTCTTCTTCTTATTCTTCTTCTTCTTCTTCTTCTTCTTCTTCTTCTTCTTCTTCTTATTCTTCTTCTTCTTCTTCTTCTTCTTCTTCTTCTTCTTCCTTGTTGTCTCACTGTTTTCTGGTTGAACCAAGTGTCTTTGTTTTTTGTATTTGTCTTGCACTTCTCGGGTGGCTTGAGTGATGGATTTGTTCAACTTTTGGCAGGTTTCATCAACACCATTCATCCATCTCTTTCTTGGTCTTCCTCTCACCTTCCTCCCAGATGTTCTACTGTAAAACTTTTAATATGCAGTCTGGTCTGGCTGCATTCTCACTAGATGACCAAACCATTTCATTCTTTGTCTGTCATTATAATCCAGACATGGTCTTATTCCAACTTTCTCCCTAATGCTGGTATTCATAATCCTGTCTCATGTTATTTTTCTTCTTGTGTCTTATTTTGTCTTGATAGAAGACTGATAAATGACAAAAACTGAGATACAGTAGTTGTTAAAAACTAAAACCATCAGCTGCATCTTGAAAAAGAAATTGTGCTTAAATGTACTAATAATGACCGTGGCATTAATTTCAGACAAGTCCCCCGTGTGGGTTCCGGGGCCCTATTGTGGGGAAAACAAGAATAGACCCACTGCCTCCCCAAAAGCATGTCGTAAGAGTCGAGTACTTGGGGAGCTTCCTTTGAAGTCGGAGTGCATCTGCCTGAGAGGCAAGGAACCAGCAGTCTACATTCAATTGAATCAGATCTGTAAAACTGATGCACACGCAACACTCAGGTTCTGGAGCAGAACTGCAGTCCAGAAGTGGACGAACAACCAGAACTTTACGCCAGAGTGTACAGCTGGTGAACGCGAAGAAGAAGAAGAAGATTTCAGAGAAGTATCTTGAAGATGAGTTTCTTGGAAAGGTAATGTTGAAGTTTCCCATTGCTTTCCACATCCACATGGCTTTAGACTACTTTCTTAGCCTTCAGCAACCTTTTCGATTGCTAGGGTAGAAGCAGAAGGCATGGTACCTGAAAGGAGAATTCCAGAGAAATTTGACTAAAAAGCTCAACAAAATGCAATGAAAAAGGAAAACGTTGCACAAAACATTACACAACGTAACGTTTCGGCCCAGGCAGGCCTTTTTTCAAACACAAGTGGACTACACTAAAAGAGGAAGGAGAGTATGTAGATCTCTTCAGGGGTGACGTGAGCGACTTTTAAAAAATGTGATGCGGAATAAATGAAATAAAATAAAATAAACGATGGCTAAAAAAATATAGTCACAATACTTGGAATAAAAGAAATGCAAGTGTTCTTCTGATACATAAATGATATTGATAAGAAATAGAATATGGTAATAATATGAAATAAAATAAAATAATTAACATTTAAAATGTAATAAGATTAGAACTATTTAGATGAAGGTATGTTGGATATTGATACCTCTTGGACTAAGAACGCCAAGGCTGTGGATAAGTCACCCCCATAGTTTTACCTGAAAGGAGGGGCAGGGGCCGACCAACACGAAGATGGGCACAAGATATAAGTGACTCCTTGAAAATGAAAGTACACGAGGCTGGAGAGCTGGCAAGAGAGCGAGTTTCTTTCAGGCAGACCGTGATGAGAGCAATGTTCTGCAAAGGACCTGCTACATGATGATGATCTTGAAGACTTTTACTTCTGTCATTATTTTGTATCTAATAGTTTTGGATGCAACTAAGAAATGAATTCCCCCCCCCCCCCACCCAACCCCCTTTCTTCTACACACATGCACATATACACATGAAAATCCTCCTCCCCCCCCCCCCCTCTCCCCCAACTCCCCTCACTTCCCTCCAATATCTACTTTCTCTGGTTTCCTATACATCTTTTCTTCTCTACTTATTATTTCTTCCTTCTTATTGATTTGAGTAAGAAGAATGTAGTAAAGAGTTGTAATTTTTTTTCTGTTTAGTAATTGTTATGATTATTTCCTATTGCAGGGCTGCTATGACGCATTAATAAACTACTTAGACACCTACTCAGCAGTTGTTGGTGCTGTAGCTGCCGTTGTGCCTCTGTTTTTGGTGAGTTTGGAGAACTTCTTGTTTTCTTTTTGTTCTTTTGTTCTTGTTTTTCTTCTTCTTCTTCTTCATGTTTTCTTGTTCTTCTTCTTCTTCTTATTATTTTTTTTTTTTTTATTGTTGTTCTTCTTCTTGTTCATTTTCTTGTTTCTGTCTTCTTCTTCATCATCCTTTGTTCTAAGAGCTGTTGGAACAGCATGTCGTGTGTTTACTTCTTCTTCTTCTCCTGTATTGTATCCCCAGTGGAGCATACCCAATTCACAGGAAAACGATAGCACATGTAGACTGAATAAAACAGAGGCTAAGCACCTATAAACATTAACTAATATCTACTCAGAATAGCTGCATTTAATGGTATGGCATACTTATTTTTTTCTTATTTTTCTTCTTCTTCTTCTTCTTCTTCTTCTTCTTCTTCTTCTTCTTTTCTTCTTCTTCTTCTTCTTTTTCTTCTTCTTCTTCTTCTTCTTCTTGATTCTTCTTCCTTCTTCTTCTTCTTCTTCTTCCTTCTTCTTCAACTTTTCAACTTCTTCTTCTTCTTCTTCTTCTTCTTCTTCTTCTTCTTCTCTTCTTCTTCTTCTTCTTCTTCTTCTTTCTTCTTCTTTCTTCTTCGTTCTTCTTTTCTTCTTCTTCTTCTTCTTCTTCTTCTTCTCTTCTTCTGTCTTCTTCTTCTCCTTCTTCTTCTCCTTCTTCTTGTTTTCCTTCTTCTTCTCCTCCTTCTTCTTCTTCTTTTCCTTCTTCTTCTTGTTGTTCTTTTTCTTCTTATTATTATTATTATTCATCTTCTTCTTCTTGTTCTTTTTTTCTTCTTCTTCTTGTTCTTTTTCTTCTTCTTCTTCTTCTTCTTCTTCTTCTTCTTCTTCTTCTTCTTCTTCTTCTTCTTCTTCTTTTTTTCTTCTTCTTCTTCTTCTTCTTCTTCTCCTTCTTCTTCTTCTCCTTCTTCTTCTTTTCCTTCTTCTTCTTCTCCTTCTTCTTCTTTTTCTTCTTCTTTTTCTTCTTCTTCTTCTTCTTATTTTCCTTCTTCTTCTTCTCCTTCTCCTTCTTCTTCTTCATGTTTACTGGTTGTAAACTTCAGTGGAAAGTTCTGGCTGTTCATCCACTTCTGGACTTTGGTTTTGTTCCAGAACTTGAGTTTTTGCCTTCATATCCAGTTTGCAGATCTGGTTCATGTGAATTCAGAGTGATGGTTCCTTGCTTCTCAGGCACATGCACTCTGACCCCTAATTAGTCACCTTCTATAACATGCTTGTTTGCAGGGCAGTGGGTCTGCTCCCCCCCTCCCCCCTCCATCCCCATTCTACAAATGGGAGCTCCAAAACTCAATCAGGGAGTATGACATAATCAGTAATATGTAGAGCTTTGGGAATGTATGCGATGGAAGAGAATGCAACGAGCTTTCTGTCTTTCGATAAGCCTATGAACATATAGTGAGATGCATAACTCAGAATGTGTTTGAAGTTGAACAATGGATCAATATCATGGCAAATGGGTAGTAACCCGTTAGTGCTTTGTTCTTCTTCAAGTTTGAGTCCGAAGTCAGCACAGTGCACAGTCTCTGTAGCACCTGTGAGGATCCTGAAATACTTTGGGTAGTTTTTTAACTCCCAAGTTTTGCCCGGGCAGCGCCGTTAGGCTACTCTTTTTGATTTCCAACTGCCAAGGGATTTTTTACATGCACAACAATGCGCACGGCCGCCCAATCTCACTACCCAGAGACCAGGGGAAATTACTAGAAGTCTAAGTCCACGTGAAAAAATCGCAGCCCTTACCTAATATGGAACCCGGAACCTCAAGGTCGACACCATGCGTCAAGACCATGCAGCCCCTTATCTCAAAATGAGTTAGTGAAATATTGATTGCACTGAGCATCGACACATATTCCTGTTAATGACATATTTATTGACTGCAAAATAATAGCAGTGGCAGAGTCATGGCAAGTGACACTGACATCCGGAAACTACAAGGCTGCATTTGTTCTTCAGGACAATTCAGTCCCACACATAAAAGAGGTCCAATTCAAAGAGCATTGTTCTAGAAGAAAACAAGTAGTGATTATTTGCCGATCACGTACTGCAGGAAAGCAATATGTCTCCTGTCGTGTGCAGTTATATTGGGCAGGCACACAATAAAATACTGTTGAGCAGATATAGTTACTGAAGACAGCTAGTGAGGTTACAGTATTTGTACTTTAGATTGTGCAGAAAAGAGGGATCTATGGTTAAATAAATTAAAATGGCTCTAGTAGCCATTTTTACAATGTAAATTATTGATCCCTACTCATCCCTATTTCCAACTTGGTATTTTTATTATTATTATTATTTATTATTATTTTTAGTTATTATTTTATTTGCTACTACTACTACTACTACTACTACTACCACCACCACCACCACCACCACCACCACCACCACCACCACCACCACCACCACCACCACCACCACCACCACCACCACCACCACCACCACCACCACCACCACCACCACTACTACTATTATTCCTCTTTCCAGTCTTCCTTCATGTCTTCCACTTTCACTTTGTTGCTTTCTATTTTTATCTTTTATTTCTTTGTCATCCTCCTAATTTGTATTCTTCATCCTTCTTTGTTTCACTTTTTTCTTCATCCCTTCAGTTCACCCTTGCTTCAGTTCATACTCCCTCCACTTCTTCCTTCGTCTACTTTGATTCTATTTTCCTCAACTTCTTTTCACCTCCACTTCCTCTTCTTTTTCTTCTTCTTCCTTCTTCTTCTTCTTCTTCTTCTTCTTCTTCTTCTTCTTCAACCCTTGAAAGAGCGGTTGACATTTATGTTGTGGTTTACAGCTAGGCACAACACATCGAATTTCAAAAAATTCTTAATTAGTCGACTTTTCAACATGCCTGTTATGGGACAATGGTTCTATTTAATTGGTATTATTATTTTTGCTTTTGTTATCGTTCCTCAGTCCTTTCCTCCTTCCTGTCTTTTAAATTTACTTTTTTTTCATCAACTTAATTTTCTTCCTTCTCCTGGCTCTTACTTTTCCTTCTTCTCTTTTTCTTCTTTTCTTCTTGTTTTTCACATTTCCTGTTTACAGCTAGGCACACCCATTCTTTCTTTTTTTCGACTTTTCAACATGCTGTTATGGGTTTTTGGGTCTATTTTTTTGGTATTATTATTTTTTTCAAGTTTTTTCTTCCTCTTAATTTGGGTTTTACTCATGTTTCGATCTAGCCTTTTCTTAATCTGTTTAATCATTAACGTTATTATTTCCTTCATTTCATTCGTTTCTTCAATACTGATTTATCTTCCTTCAGATTCTTCCTCCAACTCCTGTTCATTTTCTGTGTTCTTTATAACCTCCTTCTATATCTGTAGTAATTGTTTCTGCAAACATCACCCGTTACGTATTTTTATCTTCACACCAATGAGATTTATACATTTTGCATATGGATCCAGAAAATTCATGTTTTTTTTTCCTTCCAGTCCCTTATCTTTTTTTTCTTTCTATATTTCCTCTTTCCTCTGCCTCGGGTGCCAATTTGGCGTCATTATGATTTCTGTGCAGGACAAAAGGGGAGGGAAAAAAGACAGCCATACATAATTTTATAGAAATGGTTGACAGTGAAAAATAATACATCCCACAATTGACTGACATTTTATGCCTTCCTCACAATTCATCTGTAATTGCCATCCTAATGATGCCCAAATTGTTCAGAAAGGGAAGTGCCCTAAGCAAACAATAATTGTTCAACTGAGAATGTGGATATTATTGATAATATCTGTGTGTTTATTGTAAATATTGACACTGTATCCTGGGAATTATCACCACTGTGTGATACTGAGAAGTTTGAGGGAGCCATTAAGAATATATTTTCAGTAGGATTCTTGTTCTTCTCCTAGTTGTCATTCTTCTTCTTCTTCTCCTTCTTCTTTTTTTTATACTTATACTTCTTCTTCTTCTTCTTCTCTTCTTCTTCTTCTTCTTCTTCTTCTTCTTCTTCTTCTGCTGCTGCTTCTGCTGCTGCTTCTTCTTCTTCTTCTTCTTTCCTTCTTCTCTTCTTCTTCTTCTGCTTCTGCTTCTGCTGCTACTGCTTCTTCTTCTTCTTCTCCTTTTTCTTCTTCTTCTTCTTCTTTTGCTGCTGCTGCTGCTGCTGCTTCTTCTTCTTCTTCTTCTTTATATTCTTTTTCTTTATGTCCTATTCCTACTCTTCCTTCTCCTCCTTCATCAGAGCTACAGAATGCATGCTGTGTGCTCAACACCTTCAGCTGGAGATTAGTGTCTTCTTAACACCGTTACTGAGCCCCCATAAAATCAGTACACCAAGCCCTGCCTCCACAACCACTCACAAAAATACTGATGTCAAACATTCATAAAATAAAATTAACATGCCTCTCTGCTTGTGGCGCCCTCAGCTAACTTCCCAGCATTTCCATGCATCAAGCGTTTCCTGCTTTAGACGTGTTGACACCAATATTCATTATAAAGCTAATATCAGTACGGAGACTCTTTGCTGGCTGTTGAAGAGGGAGATAGAGCTAATATTGGCTTGTCCTGAATGCTGATTACCCGGATGAACCCAGGTCATTATTGTCAGTTTTGTTTTGAAGCATTAGCACTTTATTCTGTTAAAACGACATCAATTATAAAGTATTTTTACCCTTACTGTTAATTTCTCTTCCTTAAATAAATTTAATTATGTTCTGTTTGACAGTAAATTATCTTTTGTTTCCTTTCATTTTGCTTCAGGTTTTTGGAATCGTGATTTCATTCTGCTTGTGTGCTCGAGTCACGGGATATGCCCAGGAGGACGACGTATAAATCAGACCATTCTTTGAGACTGAAAGTATCATCTGTCATCTAATTTAAAACGTGCTGCGATTTGAAATGAACCTGCCAGGATGTGTTCACAAGATAATGAGAGTCTGCTCATGTTTCTCAATCAAATTACACATTTGGCACAGAATTGTCATGAATGCTTAATCCTTTCAGTACCATACATGTGTTACCGTAACTCGTTATTCCCTAAGAATTATTTTGAGTTGAATATTGTTAATGTTTAGTTTGTCAAGGAGTTAAAACTTAAGTGTGAAACATAAATCAATCCAATGAATTGAGACTAAGAACATTAATTAAAGGGGTGGGGGTGGGAGTGTACACACACTAGAAAAGTCAGGTGAATCGGCTGGAGACTTTCTCCACACAAAAATACAACAGCAACAAGGGACAGAGTATCTTACCTACCTGTCTCCACTTAGGGTGGTCATGGGAAAAACTGAAATATAGAAAGAAGGAAATGTACATATTTCATGTAGCCAACTTAGTTATAACTTGTAAGACTGGTGGGGAAAATATCAAGGAGAAGGCAAAGTGATTAATACTTGTGTGATTTGGCCTTATAGATAGGTTTGGGATTATAACACTGACATGATCTGTGAATCAGGTGATCATTTGAGATGGTGAAACATGTCAGCCTATGCTTGTCAGCATGATATGATGATGATGATTATTTCTGTGTGTCAGATATAAAAAGTACTGCACTATGATATGTAGGGAAACTGAGGAGATAAACAATGAGCAAGAAATGGTTGTTTATGTCGGTATTTTCATTTCCATCGCAGGTCCATAAAAATGAGAGAGAACTGGAGTTTTTGAAGACATTCAATGATTGCTGCCTTGTGTTTTGTCAAACTCAGTTGTTTAAATACTGGGAATCCCTTTTAACAAATAATACAAAATACAGAATATAGACAACGAAAGAATATTTATATGAAAAATTACTATTTTAACATGATGATTATATTTAAGCAATATTACACATGGAAATAAAGAGATTATGGTGTGTTTCTATTTCACGAAAAGGTGTCAAAATGAAATTTGAATTTGTAGATAGATTAAGACTAAAATGTAGATATGTGAAAATTGATCTCAGTTCTGTATTTTGTCATAAAAACTTGTTTAAAATGACAAACAAAATTGTCAACACAGCTGACATTTAAACATTTGATTCAAGATTGAAAAGTGCAGTAAGGTAGTGTGGCTTGAGAGCAGAAATTGGATTGGATTGGATTTTTTACCCCACCAGGACATCACACAAGCGATAAACACCCGATGACACAAAGTGCCACCATGCGGATGAGGATCACCGTGGAGAGGTCCCAGAAACCGCGTTCAGACATTTGGCCATAATGATGACCTGCCTATATTGCGGCCCCTGGCAAAAGCCAGAGTGGGGCTTCAAATAACAAAAAATAACGTCCTAAGAAGGACGAAAAGTAGTAATGGAGCAGAAATGGAACAGATGACAAAGATGGTCAGAGAAGTTAGATCAATGTAGTACCACACTGAAGTTAAGAATATGTAAAACTAAAGTCATATTTAACAAGTTATACAGTGTATCTCATAAAACAGTAATGTACTGAAAAGTAATATCAATATGAGGTCAAGCTATGGGTGCTTTTTTGTATAAATACCTTTACTTAAATTAACAAATTCTTTATAGAATTATTTATATACAGTTCATCAGAAATGTTTGCCATTTTCTGAAACAACAGAATTAATTAATTTACCCTTTCGGTTGCTGTGGATGCTCCATGAAGAAAATTCAAGTTATGGAAAATCAAAAGTGCATTCATTACTTAAAAAAATTATTATGAGTGCAAACTGCCAAATGAGATGCCGTTTTTCATTATATTATCTGCAGAAAAAAAGTTATTAACAAACAAAACAAAAAACACACACAATGCATTCAGTTATATTTGGATTCATTGAACGATTACTATAGTTTTATGTCTTGGGACAGAAATAGTTTAGGAAATGTCATCTGAAAATTCAAATGATTTTTTTTTTCTTTTACAGAACATATATTTTTTTAAGGCGAACATTTAATTAGTTTCTACTTTAAAAAAGGCAAATCTTAGTTATTGTGAGCTTTTATTTTGAACAATACTATATAAATTAAAAATTTGCAAAAAAAAAGTACTAAAGAACATATGCCTAACAATGGTACTGGTTTTGCGTATTGTTTTATACAGCAGGGGGGGGGGGGGGGGGGGGGGGGTAAAAACCTGATTGCAGCCAACAAATGCATGATGTATTACTTTGTGCTGGATAAGCTGATAACTATTTTTATTATTTTCTATCAGTTTAACATTGCATTAACTGGATAGAACCAACTTAGACAAGTAAAGAAGTGTTCTGTTTTTTTTTTTTTTTTTTCAATTCGCCTTTTAAAGGGCGATTGACACGCTGCAGTGTGGCTCACAGTTAGGCTGTGATATCTCCACCTTTCAGCCAAATGCATCCAGTTTCAACAAGACCCTCATTAGCGCCCTTTCACACAACATGATTGTTAGGGGGTTCAGAAGTTCTGTTCTTTTTCCCCCAAATGGGGCCTCAGAACCAACACGGGGAAGGTCAAGAAGGGACGAGGATGACCAGATAAATCCAGCCAATGTAGATAATGTAACATAAATAGTTTTTGCAACATTCCAATGCTTTGTTTATCCAGATTTGTTTCATTTCTTTTTCCTTCCATGTTTTCTCTCACCTGTAAAAAGAAACAACAAAATCGGCACATCTTCAAAATTTGTCAAACAGCATTTATTGATGACTTTGTTTGATAATTTAGATTACCTGTCTTGTTTGAATGTTGTGAAGATTTTTACTAATTACGTACATCTTTAGTGGTGAATTAGAATTGTTATTTGAATTACTAATTTTAGAGAAGATTTTTACTTTCTTTTTATAAGATTATAAATTTTTACATTAACATAATTAATTTATATTTACTTCAATCAAAATGTTGCTTTTCAACAATTTCGGCCAGTTAAAACACAATATTTGGTTTCCAGTTAATAATCACTGGAGTGACATAAATTAACTCTTATTTAGAAATGTTTCTTTGGGTACTATCTATACATTTTTTTTTTAATTTGTCATTTTGTTAAATTGTGAGCCAGTCAGTATTGCATTGTTATATGCAAACAGATTCTACAAACTCAGAAATTTTAAATAAATAAGAATTCAGTGATAGCATACCTGGCAACAAGAGCTGCAATTACATTAGATTTTGACCCAAGGTTGACATAAATTCGTCTATTGCAAATTGCATGATTCTTTATTTAACATTAAATCAAGAGTTATTGTTGTCTTTTTCTGTATTCATCCTCAACTCGTTCATTCCTAGAAAATTATGTTTTAAATATTTAATTAGATAATAGACACAATGAAAAGAGCATGACTATATTACTTTCAAAGTGATAATATGTGCTGTGCTGTATGTTAGCACATCTAGCCAGATTTCTTTAGCATGCTCAAACCAAATATAAAATATTTAATAACGCACTGCTCCTTGTTTGATACACACTGTTTATGGTTGTACTTTAGTCGTAACAGAAAGAGTCAAAAGGATGGTTGGTATGTTGCTTTATGGTTTACAGCTAGGCTGTGATATCTGTCACTTTTGACCCAACACATCTGATTTCAACCAATTCCCCCAAATGTGGCCCCAGTCCTGACATAGGTCAAAGGTTGATATGATCCTGAGTGTTAGATAATTTATGCACTGTGATATCATTCTGCTAGTGTAATCTGTGGGAGAAGACTGAGCACTTATGGGGGTATCTAAGAGCTGGCTGAATGTAGTCACATTTTTTTTTCAATGAACAAATGGAGGTATCTTGTGCCAAATAATAATGATCTTTTGTAAAAAAAAAAAAAAAGGTAAAAACTAGGGCTGTACCAAATAGTGATTTTCACAATTCGGCCGAATACGAATAGTGGGAACAACTATTCGGCCCAATACGAATAATAATAGTGTATCATCATCATCAGGTGCCTTGCTGACTGGCGAGAGCGATCATGCCACAATCTCCTGCAGCATGTATCAGTTCGTGTGCTGACACACCTCCATGCCATGCAACAAGACTGTCAAGAATCTTATCTCGTTGTCTTCCCCTATCCCTCCTTCCACAGATCTTTCCAGTGGTCACCAAATGTTCCATTTCCCTTCTTCTCATAACATGGCTGAAAAATGACGACTGTCTCCTTCTGATGTCTGTGATTAGTTGTCTTCGGGCTCCCGCCTCTTTCAAAACCATCGCTCGCTCGGCCATTCGTTCGATGTAATTTAAACGCACCTTCATATTCTCGTTAGCAATATCTTCAAATTTTATTTGGGCGAAGACACCCTGAAAGAATGAAAAATGCATGATCTCTCTCTCTCTCTCTCTCTCCCTCTTTCACTCTCTCTCTCTCTCTCTCTCTCACTCACACACACACACACACACACACACACACACTGCGGTTGGCATTTTATGCAGTTTGTACTACGCAACCGAGTAGCAGTTTCCCCCGCTTCGACAGACTTAGGCAACAGCAATGGTTGTGTTAATGAGAGAGTTATTTCAGTCCATCAAAGTGTATGCAGAAACGGGAGTAAGGTAACCACTATTCGTATTCGGCCCAACCGCAACTATTCGGCCGAATACCAAATAGTTATTAGGTCCACTATTCGGCCCCGAAGCGAATACGAAGCGAATATTCGGTACACCCCTAGTAAAAACCAACAGAGGTTTAGAAAACGTTTAACTTTTTGTAACAGAATTGTTTTCTCCCATCACTGACTGTGGTTGTTACTTAGTCTTACTATCAAATATTGAACACAACTGGACAGATTTTCACACTGTTACAAGTGCCAGATAAACATTTTAAAGGACTTAAGAATTGTTTGATACAAGCTTCTGTCCTATTTCATGTCCTTTGTTTAAAATCATATGTGATACCGCTGCTGTTTTCTGAACCAAGTTCTTTCCACTTAG